AGTTTGGGGTTTAGGGTTTAGGGGTTTAGGGTTTATGGGGTTTATGGGGTTTAGTTTATAGGGTTTAGGGGTTTACGGTTTAGGAGTTAGGGTTTAGGGCTTATGGGCTTTATGGGGTTTATAGGGTTCAGGGTTTAGGATTTAGGGATTAGGGCTTAGGGATTAGGTTTAGGGTTTATGGGTTTTATGGGTTTTATGGGGTTTATAGGGTTTATAGGGTTTATAGGGTTTAGAGGGTTTATAGGGTTTACAGGGTTTATAGGGTTTAGGGATCAGGGTTTAGGGGTTTCGCGGTTTAGGGGTTTAGGGTTTTGGGATTTTTTGTGGGAATTTGGGGTTCAGGGCTAGGGTGGGTGCGGGATTTATTCCGGTGTGTATGGATTCAACCGAATACCGAGCGTTGAGCAAGCAGAAGTGGAAATGGACGGCTAAGGCAGCAAGAAGCAGGCTTGTGCGAGCCCTAAACCCTAAACCCTAAACTATCAGCAGAGCTGCTTGTCCCCAAAATAGCCCCTACCCAAAAGGCCGAGACCTTTGCAAGGGTGCCAAAGCCATACCCTAAACGGGTTACCTTATCGGATCCTTAACCGTCAAAGTCTAAATGCCCTTAAACCCTAATAATTAGGAGCCTAAATAGTTACCAATACTATTTTGGGGGATTCCTTATTCCAGTTATACTATAAGCCACCCCCAAAACCCAATTCTAATTATTTAAGGCCCCTTATATTAGGCAAAACCCCCCGGGTCTGAGCTCAGGCAATCTGAGACTGTGCCGACGTCCCCGCGCGCCTTCTCCAAAGGTGGCAGCTTCTCAGCAGCGCAACAAAGCAGGTTTGGGCTTTAGGCTTTGGGCTTTCGGCTTTAGGCTATGGGCTTTGGGCTTTGGAACTTTGGGCTTTGGGCTTTAAAGTTTACGGTTTAGGGCCGGGCTTTGGGCTTTAGGGTTTGGGGTTTAGGGCCTTGGGGCTTCGGGTTCGGGCCTTGGGGCTTCGGGTTTAGGGTTTAGGGTTTACGGCTTAGTGTTTAGGGTTTAGGGTTTAGGGTGTAGGGGTTTAGGGTTTAGGGCCTTGGGGTTTAGGGTTTAGGGTAGGACATGCAGTACGACAGCAGGGTACTGGGACCTTGTGGACTGCTCCTCCCTCTGGGTTTGGGTGATTCTCCGTCCCCCAAGGTCCAAAGCGCGCCCTCACCACGAGCCGATTCGACGAGCCTCTCTGCTGCATCGGTGCATTGCTTCATGGCCTTCGCCGGGGTGTGGTCTGTGGGTTTAGGGTTTAGGGTTTAGCGTGTGTGGTGGTCTTTGGGGGAGTCGCTAGCGTCTCGTGTCGTCCATGCAGCATTGCCTGCACTGAATTGAAGCGGTCGCTGTCTGTTGCTGCAGTGAGGCATCTTCATCTTCTTTGCGATCTGTTGCTGAGGATAGGGTGCCCATGTCTCCCGGTTTTGCCACAATTTTCCTGAAGGTTTTTTCAGGGCTCTAGGGGTGTAGGGTTCCCAAAACTTCAAAACAGTTCTGACAGGTTCGGGTTCATGCAAAGCTCGGGCCACCCTTTTACTTCAAGCCTCGGATTCCAAGATCTGAGGTGGTCGAAGAAGCAGGAGGTGAAGAAGCAGTCGGCTCAGTGTGCTGAGGGTCCCAGACATGGTTTTGAGTGCATGCATTGAAGCCCTAAAGAGCTATTAGCCATCAACGGCCATCGACCGCGGTCAAAACAGCCATCATACTCTCGTTATAGCAGAAACAGTCGTAGTCTCAACGTCTGCAGTCCGCTAGTCGCTGTCATGGAGTCATGGGATGGTAGCTTAATGTATCTTGGCGCTTGGAGCCCGCTACCGTTCCGCACTTGTTGTGCCAGAACCTCCTTGGCATAGGCCTTTCTGGTACTGATCACAAATGCGGACCTATATGTATATAATACATATATAACATACTGTGCATATACATGTACTGGTCTGCAGGTATATGCTAAAATGCATGACAACTGCATGTGCGGTGCAGGTATGCGTGTTTATACACATATATAAATGTATATGTGTTGACATACAGTATATATATAGACACACATAAATATACAACTTTATGTACGTATGTATGTATGTATGTATGTATGTATGTATGCATGTATGTATGTACGTTTGTATGTATATATATATATATAAGCATATATATATATATATATATACACAACTATATATATATATAACATATATATATATATGTTTGTATATCCACATCTCAACGATGGAAGCGAGGACCAAGGCGAGGCATGCTTCTTTGCGGGGTGCACAGTGTACGGCTGCAATAGGCAACCCCTGTGCTCTACAGACATGAGTTCACACAGCCTCCTTCCAAGTCTTTCGGCCCTGACTCTTGAGGACGGAGCAGGCGAAAGAGTACGAAGAGGAATGTAGCTTGGCTTGGGGATGTGCAGTTAGAATCGAGATGTGTCGGGCTTAGGATATGCAGCCCCATGTGGCCCTTGTGGGTAGGTACTCTGTGGAGTTTGCTGCCAGCGCTGCAATCGTGAATTGGAGGATTCGAGGGTCGTACGCTTTGCATTGCCTGCTCTTGATCTTGAGTGTGTCACTTTTCTACTTACAGGCTGGGTGCATTTATCATAAGACTCCAGCCCACTCAAGAGTGCAGCGCCCAGGGAGACCAATCCAAGTCACAGAAACCTCCTTTTATTACTTTCAAGACGAGCTCTGAACACGTCTACGGGCTGGAGACATGCCCAGGCACCCTGCCCCCACGACTGAGGATGCGAGGTCGCCTAAAGATGGAAACATGCCGCCCAGCACCCTTGATGGCCTGAGACCTGTTTAGTTCGTACGGTACATGCATGCATACATCAAAATATGTACAGAAGCATTGGCAGAGACATACACGCAGACGTATACATACAGGTCTACATATAAGTATACACATATTGACATGTATACATATACATATACATATGTAATATGTATGTACAGGTTCTTTCACACTTAAATATACAAGTTTGCGTATATGTGTATATTTATACGCATATGAATAGATACACACGTATACATATATATATATATATATATACATGTATACATGTTTACATATCTCTCTTTCTCGCTGTCTCTCTCTCTCTCTCCCTCTCTCTCTTTTTGTATATATATATATATATATATATACACGCGTGTTATTAACGTACGTATGTATATATGCACATGCATGCATATATGGTCCCGCGTCGCCGCGTCAGTGGCCCCGCCCCACATGCATGGTGTGCCGTGTGCCCCCCCCCCCTCCCACAGCAGCCATGCCAGGTCACAGGAATGGTTCTCGTCCGCGTCATCATCCTCGTAAGTGTCGACGTTCTTTTGGAACTCTCGCGCAAGACCGCGCAAGCCCTGCCCCCCCCCCCCTTGCATGCTGGTAATCCGAGTGTGACTGCTGTTGGTAGCACCGCTGCTCTTGTGCTGTTCTGCCTTGAGGTACCGCATGTTCTTTGTTTTTCTTAGTTTCAATAGTTTGTTTGGCTTGATGTTCTTTCGCAGGTTTTCGTAGTTTGTACCGACCGTTGTCATTCCAAGCTCAGTTTCGGTTGGGAGCGTCAAGAGTCAGCCCGAGCATGTGCTTGAATAACTTTCATTCAGGAGTCTTGGCGGACGGGGATCATGATCTCATGATCACCATCTTCCAGGGAGGGGCAGGCAGGGGGGAACCCACACCACAGGGAACCACACAGAGGGGTGAGGGGGGGCCTAGGAGCGCTGCACCATATATATATATATATATATATATTTGCATGCAGATAACATAGATGCATCATAAGATGGATGCACAAAGAAGTACGGATAGCATAGACGCATCATAAGATCGATATGCTGTAAGGAAGCATTGGTCACCGAAAGCCTAGGTCGCAAGATGGAGAGGGCTACGGAGTCAATCCAAGCTCTGAAGACAAGCACTTTGCTGAGTGCCCTGATGATGAATATACTACAGGTTAGGGTTCAGGCTTTGGGGGTTTTTGTTGTCGCGCACGCAAGCTGCGGAGGGCAGGATTTTGGTCCCGGTACCTGGAAAGGATCGGTTTGAGGCGGGGAATCCTTAAACTATCCCGAAACCCGATAGGTCGTAACTTTGAATGCCTCAGGGGGGTTGTTGTGCTGGAGGAATGAAGCAATGTGGCACAGAGTGCATGCCTCTGCGGCTGGAATATCTTGCCGAGAATTGGAAGTAGCTTTCAGTTGTGAGATTGGATATGAAAATTTATGAAGGCGCTTCCAATTTCAAGCCCTTTAGCTGACCACCCTTGACCCAAGCCATCCCAGATGACAAGAATGTGGCGGCCGAAGTGATGCACAAGAAGGTGGGCACTACTTGCAAAGTGTGTGGCAAGTCTAATACGTGAGCCCTTGTTTGGTGTCTCGTTTTGAGTCTAAAGACGCTCCTGCATGCTAGGCTTCATGCAGAGAGCTACAAGCGGCTTGTACAGTTAAGTCTGTGGTAACCCATACAGCATTGCGACTGGTGGTGGAAGCCTGGACGAGGAGGATCGTGGAAGATTGTAGGTGTTGGGACAGCTCTTTACTTTGGCTATAGACACTATGTTTTGATGCTTTTTAATCTTCTGGAGGGGACGGGTTTCTGGTGTCAGCGCACCAGGCCGTACACGACCTCAACGATATTCGCCGCATCTTCTCCCACTTCGACCAGGCAAGTCTGATTCGATTGACTGAGCCGGGCTAAATATTTGATGAATCCACGTGATGAGCTATGGCAGACCAGCTAACCAGCAGGCCATCTGGTTAACTAGCCAACTAGCCAACTATGCAATTAGCCAACTAAGTAAACTCATGAAGCTAGAAGCAACTACAAAATAGATTGTTGGCAGGGCTAACTAATTTATTTTATCCAGCTGACTAACTACCCAACTCGCTCACCAGGTTAACGAACGAACTACTTAGCTGGCTAGCTGACTAACCAGCTAACTGTGTGAGTAACCGACTGACTATCTAACTAACTAACTAACTAACTAATTAACTAACTAACTAACTAACTAACTAACTAACTAACTAACTCGTTGCTAGCTGACCAACTAACTGACTAAGTAACTGACTTACTAGCTGACTGACTAACTGACTAACTAGCTGACTAACTAACTAGCTAACGAACTACCAGCTCAGTAAGTAAGTCACTAAGTATCGAGCTTACTTACTTACTTACTTACTTACTTACTTACTTACTGACTCACTCACTCACTTACTTACTTACTTACTTACTTGCTTGCTTACTTACTTACTTACTTACTTACTTACTTACTTGCACGCTCACTTGCTTGCTTACTTGCTTGCTTACTTACTTACTCACTCACTTACTTACGTACTTACCTACTTACTTACCTAACTTTATCTTCACGTAAGTTAACTTAAGCAAACCCAACCTGACCTATCTGAACTTAACCTAACTTGCCTTACTTTATCTTGACTCTGCTTAACTTAACTGTTCAACAACACACCTAGCTAGCTAAGAAAGTCGCTTAAGTTGCGGATCTCCTGCCTTGATCAGGATGGCTCCGGCTATATCGAGCCGCCAGCAACTAGGCAACAAAGGGAGCCCAGGTTTTAGCCACCTTCAGCAGCATCCTGCAGCTTGGTCAAGGGGCCCATGAAAGCAGCAAAGAAAGCATGATAGAATGATAGAGCTTTCAGGGCATGAAGGGTTTCCTTAAGACACTTGCATTCAGCTGCCCCAGTGAGGCAGCTGGTGAACCAAAACTTTGCACTGTGATGCAACAGGGTTTTACGATCCCAAACAGTGGGACCATTTAGGCGAATTCCCCAATCTGGGCAGATCTTCTCTAAACCAACCCCTAAATGCCTAAACACAAACCCAAAACCCTCAATCTGGGCACTCAGGAATTCATCCCATTGCTTGCCAAGCTCCTCCGCCGGCCGGCGGAGGAATTTGTGGGTGTCTGAGTAGAGAATCGGAAGTGCATGTCCTTTCGAAATGTAATCCGAATTGTTGCCTAGATTTTGGTACATGCGTTTTCACAATACATATGTATATTCATATGCAAAGCTATATGTCTATGTGTATACATACGCATACGCATATGTTGTCGCTTATGTATATGTGTAGGTGTAGCTGTATGTGTATGTAAATGTTTGCTTAGATGCACATGCAGACTAGGTGCAGTTGTGGATCTAGATGTATATGTGTATGCAAAGGTTTGTATGATGCGTGTATGTGTGAATGTATGTATGTATGTATGTATGTCTGTATGCATGTATGTAGGTAGGAATGTATGTATGCGTAGGTATGTGTGTGCATGCAGAATCTCTCTCTCTCTCTCTCTCCCTCCTCTCTCTCTCTCACACATATATATATATATATAGGTATAGTATGTTCAAGATTATCTGGCCGATCGTTTCGGCTTAGATATAAGAGTCTTCTGCTACGAAGAGGGGTTCTGCTATACGGCTCTTCTGCCAGATAGCGTCGTCTGCTAGCCAGGGCCTACGTTCTAATTCACATGCAGCTGAAACTGGCTTGGCTTGGCCTGGCTTGTTTTATTCAACTTCAAACGCTCTGAACTACATTGGCGGTTTACATATACATACACCGGTAGAATGGGTCTAGACACGTCACAGGTACATGGACAGATAGATGGACTTGGATAGATGGATACAGAAGAGTAAGATACGCGGGTGTGCATGTGTGCATGAGTGTATTCACTATCCTGAAGGTCTAGGATGCTTCATTTCGGAAGCCTCCAGTACTGCCGGGGCTGCCTTTATGTTTCGAACCCTAAACCCTAAACCGTTCGCATCCATCTCCTTCGGAGCATTGCAGGACCTCGATCGAGGAGAAGTCTGGGCGGTCTGGGACCAGGTCGCGCGGAAGAGAGATTTCGCAAGGATATCTTCTGATACATACATACATGTTGATATGTATTAATTTGCTTTGTCCCGCTTTAAATCGCTGATGTTGTATTCAGGGGTATACACACACATATACACACTCCTTTGTATACAAATGCATACCTTTCTGTATACTACGTGTTTATGTGCTTTCATACACACGTGTGTATATATGCATATCTATCTACCTATCTACCTATCTATCTGTCTATCTATGTACCTACCTACTTACCTACCTACCTACCTACCTACCTACCTAGCTAGCTACCTAGCTAGCTAGCTAGCTAGCTAGCTAGCTAGCTAGCTAGCTATCTATCTAGCTATCTATCTAGCTATCTAGCTAGCTATCTAGCTAGCTATCTATCTAGCTATCTATCTATCCCTATGTGTGCGTATGTATGTATCAGTATGCATGCTTACATATATACCTAAACGCATGTATACACATACGTATATATGTATATATACACATACATATATACTTAGATAGATAGAGTACCATGTTGTATTATTTTGTTTTTCACATATAGTTCTTGTTAAATGCATAGTCCATTTTGCATGTATACTTATATGCAGACAGACACGGAAAATTTCCTAATACCGCAGACAGTTCATGATGCAGGGATTGGTTTATTTACATCGCCATCTAGGATAATAGTATATGATATCACGTCTCTTAGTATCTCGGAAAAGTCAGTTTTAAATACATACATATATATATATATATATATATATATTAACTAAATATATATTAACTAACCGGCTAGCTAGCCAGCTCGCCAGCAGGTTCACTAACTACATAAAGCACATAAAATAATGAAGTAATTTAATCAACACAGAAGATACATAGATAATCATCTAAGTTCATAGAAAGAACGCGAGGTGACATAGCGTTTCGGCTCGTGGCCTTAGAAGCTAGAGTGGAATACATGGAATACTTGCCTGAGGGGTGCGCTCGAAGCCGCGCCCCCTGTGTTCCTATGCCGGCTAGGTTGACGCCGACGGCAGTGGCAGCATTGACTTTGATGAGTTCCAGAAGTGGTATGCAGAGCTTATGGGAATCGATCCTCGCTTTACACAGCACGAAAACATGGTTGAAACCTCCGTGGTTGAAGTCTGATCGCCAGGACCCGTCACCACCGACTCTCCTCAGAGCAGTCATTTTTTTGTGCATACCCAGATGTTCAGCCATAGATGCGACTGTTGGGGCCAAGCGAAGATGATATACAGAACGGCATCCATACAACCGGCCGCCAAGTGCGAGTGTGCAACTATCATTGTCCACTGTTGTCATTGTTGTTGTCGCTGTTGTTGTAGGCATAATTTCTTACGTTCTGTGATGCTGCGATGCTGCTTCATGGTTCTGGCCCCCCTTTCTTCTCTTACCTCCGCTACTACTGCTGGTGCTGATATTTCACCGTGGCTACTGGGACTACACCAGGACGGCAGCAAAGACAGCGGCAGCAACTACTTCTCCGGCTGCTACTACTACCTACCGCTGCTGCTGCTGCTGCTGCTGCTGCTGCCGCTACAGGTAATGTGCTGCTGCTCCACTGGCGTCAAAGTAGCAGCAGCGTTCACAACAACCGCGGCAACAAGATTGGACTAGTTGCAATACCGGTGTCGGAATCATGGTAATGACCATCGCAGCAAAGGCGCTGTGAGCAGGATAGCTCTCCACTTAACAAGTATGAATAACAACAGTGCTAGTGCGAGTATTAGTCGTTCGAACTGACGGAAGCATGGTATAGTACCCATGGCCATCAACAACACAAAATATCTGGACTAGAAGGATTAACGGTAACGGCAACAGACAACAGTAAAGTAAAGTTTACTCTCGCAGGAAATCAGACTACCAACTGAATCGACAACAAGTAGGAAGGAGATGCCGCACCGCCGAGCTTCCCTCTCTCAGGACATTCTCGATTACGGGCAAAATTTCATCCCAGATGACATTTCGTGCCGTGCCTGCACTGTTTGACATCGGCATCCGCAGTGTGGCTTTGGTTTTTCGTGTTGACGTTGTCATGAAGTAGCGCTCTTTTATTTCAATTTGGTAGATGTAACACTGTCATCGTTGATGTCAATGTTATTTGAGTGTGCTGCTGTTGTTGGTGTCTATTTTGTGTCATGTCCATCATCATCGACATTGTTATTGCAGTCGTTGCTAGGGTTGTCTTTACCGTAGTTATTGTGATTCCTTGCCTTGCAACGCCTCGCAGGGAAGACCAGAAGATGGTCCGGAGCGTTGCCAAAAGTCTGGGCCGAACCATCCTGGAAGTGGAGAAGCTGTATGCCACTTGTGCCAAAAGTCTTTGAGCAAAGAGACCCTTTTCCAGGCAGGTGAGCAGATTGGGATGAGCTGGGTGATTGGCTCGCCAGGTGAGTTTACGGTCCATAGACCGGGCTTGAGTATAGGGGTTAAGGATTACGTGTGGGTTCTCTTGCCACCGAGGATGAGTTCAGGAAACTCGATGCAGACAGCTCCAACACCCTCGAGAGAGATGAGTTCAAAGTCTTGCAGCTCGCCTTCGTTGCTTTCAGAGTCTGCTCCGTCTTTTCGTGCTTTGGACGTGCCAGCATGCAGTTCCTGATGCGATTCTGGAAGTGCATGCTTGGGGCACAGCTTGTTGTTGGATGAACCGACATGAACAGAATCCTGGGTCTAATCCGCCTGAGGAAAAGCCTATGCCCAATTGCTTCGCCAGGATTCAACGGCATTTTGCACCAAAAGGTCCTGAAGTGCCGTGGCCATCTACACTCTTTGGTGTATCTTGGGGTTGAATGTCTTCTGGGGAAGGGGTGCCGGTTGCAGGCGGTTCTTCTTCTACGTCACAGCTGCTGCTGATCTTGCGGCTGCTACTGCTACTCTACCATAAACACTACTACTACTACTACTACT